CAGGGGACACTTCAGTCACGGGTTGAACAGACTCGGTAATGTTGGTGGCCTTGTCTGTATTATTGCTGTTATTGTCGTTGTTGTTGGTGCTCTTATCATAGGTCTTTGTGTTAATTTTCTTTTATTGTTGCTGCTACTGTTGCTGCTGCTGCTGCTACTGTTGCTGCTGTTTTGCTTGTTGTATTTACCAAAACTGGTTCTGATGATGATGATGATGATGATGATGATGATAGTGATTGCTTTGGTGGTTGTTACGGTATGATAACAGAATGGATATTTTAAGGCGTATTTGACACATTTATGGATGTCAGTTTTGACCTCCGTCTGTTTTCATTATGAACGGGATCTTCAGTAATGTCACAAACCTCATAATGTTTCTCTCTACACCAAACGTTGAAACCATCATTTCTTTACATGTTGTAGGTAATTAGTGGGTACTCTGGTATGATTTTCCTCCTTCTTTCATATTATGCAACTTCTGTTGTCTTTACAATCTCCATTTTTCTTTGAATGTGCATCTCTAGTAGGTGCTACTTCTTTTACTTTCCCTCCATTGTTTCTGTCTGTCCTACATTTTCCCAGGTCTAAATGACCACTAGTGTGTCGATGTGCTTCTCTTTACTCAAACAAACACACTCTTTGTATGTTAATCTCTTGTTGTAACACTTCTTATCTTCAGTTCATATTTAACCTAATTTTGTCGAAAATGCTGTGAAACCCTCACACAAACTAGAACTAAAAATTGACTTTAACCCTTTTATCAGATTACTATGTGGATGATATTGCCAGGGGAGTCAATGCAGTCGACAAAGAGCCAGAGATAACCAAACAAGGACCATCCACGGCCCTGGTCAATGGGAACAACTGTATAGGTACTTGTGGTGGCCTCTTGGCTTATACACCATACATCAACATTGAGACAAAAAGACACACCCACACACACACTCACACACACACACGCACACACGCACACACGCACACACACATACACACATACGCACACACACACACACACACACACA